ACCTCAAGAGTATCACTGACACTAACCCAACTTCAGCTGTCAGAGAAGTTCATCCCTGTAAAATATTTAAAGTGTAGGCTGATGTGCATGTGTCCGCTGCTATGTGAATGCTAAAAATGACGCCTGAGAATACATTCTGATAAGAAACTTGAAAATCAAAGAAAAAAAAATATGCCCGTCCTCAAATTCTTTGTTTGACGCAAGTTTAATGTTGGCTTGTGCAAGTGATACTTGTGTCATGTCTGTTTGCTTTCTAGCAATTGTAAAACCAAAGTCCAAACCACAGCATCACACCTCAATTTCAATCTTCCCAACAAACACGTTTCTGGTCTAAGAAGAGAACAGGATAAAGTGGTTAAAGGAACATGATGAACTAAAGAAACAAAACCACACAATAAGAACGCATACTCAAAGTACATCTTAATGGGAATGAAAGAGAGAATAGAAAGATAAAATAAAAAATAAAACCATCATAAATAGTGGGTTTTGAACTCTTTTTCTTTAACTTGCAAGCCGAAAAAACACTACTTAAAAAAAGCATTCAACACAGTCGTATCTAAAAAAATGAAAAGGAAAGAAAATATTCTGTCTGTCAGAAGAGCATGTAGATGAAAGGAAAAAAGACCAGCATAAACTCCCACCTCTCACTCATGGGATTCTTTCTGTTTTGTCCTCTCTGAACGAGGTCATACCAACTATACTTACAATTTCTTTAAATATTCAACTTTAAATTGACTCCAAAACGCAACAGCAAATAAACAATATTAATAATAGCAATAACAATTAAATCTTTTGTTATAAGTATAATAATACCAACAAAAAAAGAAAAGGATCGCGGTCCTTCACAAAGAAAGGGAGAGGTTGAAATCAGGACAGATAAAGGAAATCATCAGGGGAAAAAGACAAAATAGCACTCTTGGTCATTACAGTATGGAAACGCCATCTAACCCAAAGACAATTATTTTTAGGGAAAAACTAGTATAATTGAAGGGTATGAACTAAACTTTCAGGATGGCTCTTGGTCTGGGAGCTGGTCTTGGTCAGGGACGCACTCCCTTGGCTCAGAGCTTACGGTCACCAAAAGTGGCATTCAATCTAGAAGGCAAGACTGAACAAGATCCATGTCTGAAATATGACAAATTTTTTTTAAAAATGAGTGGAAAAAAAGAAAGGGCAAAAATGAAAAATGAATCACAATGTGGCATGCGAGTTTTCTTCGCCTTTTCTAACTTTATCAGTTTCTTTTGGGTGTTGACAAACTTCCATCTCTTGCTTGGCTCACTGTTGAGATCTGTGGCATATTTGGGTGCTTATTTCTTCTTGCCAAAGAAACTGAAGCGCTTCTCGCGGTCTCTCTCTTTGCCGTCTTTGTTGCGCATTGTTACGCCTCCTGCATCGCCCGAGCTAGGAGACATAGGCGGCATGGTCATCGCCCGACTCAGACCTCGTGTGCCACCCGGTGAATGCTCGGTGGACGACAAGGATGACTGGATTGCTTGAATCCATGAACTCATCTCAGCCTGACGGGGAGAATATTTGCATCACAATATGACTATAACACTTCTTTTAAAACTTAATATAAGAGAATGACCTAGAAACATCCTTTGCAAAACATACCTCATCCTTTGCTTGGAACAAGAACTCTTTTCCATCCCCAAGCCTTTAACAAAATAAAGCAGTACGTCACATACTAAGAACTTCATTCATTTTCTTGGGTATTGGCGGTTTCATAAATACTGATAAAATCTGAATACTGATCATTTCTTCCCTCATCTCTCTCACCTAAGTTTAAATACATGTTTTCTTTTCTTGTAGTCATGGGCGACCTCACAGACAGCCTCGCTAAGGCTGATGGGAACTTCTCCATGGTAGGGGATTCCATTCGAGGCACTCTTGTTGTCCTTATAGAAGCCCAGACTGCCTTTACGTAATACGCAATATACATTCTGCCACGATCTACAAAAGCATAGAGAGAAAAACACACCATTTACACAATTAACCTGATTAGGTTCTCTCAGTCATTCTTTTTATAATTTATCTGCTTCCTGTGTCACCTGGTGGCTGCTTTTTTGTTGTGCGATTCCATTTCCTGTTTCCTGCAAAGGATGCCCTCCATAGTTTCTGTGGCCGCCTCTGCTCCTCCTCGCCCTGGCAGTGTAGCTGAAGGGTCTTGCCGTGATGCTGAGTCTAGACCGCTGTCACGGCCCGGACCGTTTACAGATTCTGATTCTGATCCCTGCTTGACCAAAACATGCTGCAGTTAGAAGACGTCACAATAATGCATTGTTTCCATTAACTATTAAATACCGATTAGGTCACTACTATATTGGTCTATACTATTGTTATTCGTTAAAGGATTTTTGTAACATGTTCACGGTTATATTTTATATTAATAGGTAACAAACACTCTTCAAACGGTTCATTAAAAAAAATACACTCACATATATATTATCGTATCAAAGTTTGGGGTTGGAAAGATTTTTTTTTATGTTTTTGAAAGCAGTCTCTTATGCTCACCAATGCTGCATTTATTTAATCGAAACTACAATGAAATTGTGAAATATTATAATTTAAAATATTTCTATTTGAATATATATTTTAAAAATCATATTTTAAAGCTGAATTGGCAGCAATTGTTCAGTTTTCATTCAGCAATCTTCTTATCTGATTTGGTGCTCAAGAATTATTATTTTTTTGTTATTATTAATGTTGAAAACAGTTTTTGCTGCTTAAGGTTTTGTGTAAACTGTGATATTTCTTTTTCAGGATGAATAGAAGATTCAAAAGAACAGCATTTATTTGAAATACAAATCTTTAACAAAGTGAAAGTATTTACTGTAACTTTTAATCAATTTAATAAATAAAAGAATAAACGTATTAATTTATTTAAAAAAGTCTTACTGACCCCATATAATACATGTCCTATTTCAGTATTCTCATAAGTTAACTTATGCCTATTTTTTCTGTAACTAATTTTGAAGTATAATTCCTAATCACAAACAAATATTTCTTGCTGATATTTTAATTATATTAATAAACAGATCTGAATCAAAATATTCAAACTTAGTAAGCACAATATGTACATGCACACAAAGGAAAACAAAGGCACAATCAAAGACATAAATAAAAACAGAGACTAAAAAAAAAAAAACAAGACCGGAATGTTCCACCAAGGACAAACGGGGCAGTATGGACAAGCCTGGGGAATGTGGGTGTAATAATGAAATAACACTGCCACAAAGACACTAGGACACATCTGCCTAAAACAGTTACTCCAACTAATTTCATATCCTAAGCCAAATAAGTAAATACAAATGTTAGAAAAAAAAATAGTTGCCTTGGCATAAAGTAAAATCCAATGAAACTGAAGGAAATAAAGAAACAATGTCTCATGTGAGTTGGATTAGTAGGAATTAGTTCAGTTGTTGTGATGCACCCAAACACTATACATACATAATGTAAGTTAAGGTTCCCTGACAACAAACAGCAAAACAACAGCACTACACAGAACAACAAAGATGCCTTTTAACATCATGAAGTAGAAATTTGTATGTGATAAAATGCATCGCAAACACTGATGTTAAAGCTCAGGCCTATGAAAGAAAAAAATATTACACGTTCAACATTACAGTAGCCAAATACATACAAAGAAAAGCACAAGACTGATCCACTGAAAGCAGTAGGAAGCAGCAGAGCTGTGGCTTTGCCCTTTAGCAGGTTGCTGGGGCTGGGTTGTTAAGCGCAAGCAGCGATGCTACACTATGGCTACAGGCTGGCGCTAAAGGGTTAGTACTCACACGCTCCTGTGCCTTGTGGGGTTTAGGCACAGGCTTAGAAACTGGGTTAGACTGAGGTTTACTCTCTGGTTTAGGTTCAGGTTTCTTGAGTTCAGATACAGAGACCGATAATGACTGCAGATAAGAGACGTCACAAGAATGTGTATTAACATGCGAGTGTGTTAGAACTGGCACTTGTGTGTGATTGTTCTGATAATTAAAAGGACATCCACACAGTATGAAAACGTGTTAGACATTCGTTTTGTTGTGACATTCTCCCACACTCAAAGAGACTCAAGAGTTTACAGAAGAACATTAAAATCAACATAAATAATTGACAGGAACAAGGAAAAAGACACTGAACACACAACAAGACTGTACAGTTGAGACCAGGACTGTGACGTGTGTCTTGACATGAATTTGAAAACCGTCAATATACTGACATATAATGTAAACATGTGCATGAAAGTGAATGCATAATTGGATCTATCATGAATAGAGAATTTAATATAAGCGCAGTGTGGAGCGTATCTGACCTGTGATGTGTCATGGTCACTGTAGACACCATTGACAGATACTGACTGGTTCAATGTAGTCTGGTCTAGACTCGTCCTTAAAGAGAAGCCAATGCAAATGTGTAAACGCATAATTAAATACAAAAAAATACAACCAAAAGTATCTTTTTGCCACACCTGGCAATAGCAATTTGGCTGTTTAGCCTTTGGCCTGATTTAATGTATTTCCAAATAAAATAACATTTGAAAAAAAAAACCCTTCAATAAATAAATACCCTATCATTTGAAATTTGGGAATTGGTAATTGTTGAAAATGCTTTTGAAGGTTTTACTTGATCAAAAATACAATTATTACATTAATATTGTGAAATATTATTATAATTTAAAATGTACTGTTTTTGAATATTTTATAATATTGCTCTTGAATATATTTGTTTTCAATATATTTTGTAATCCGTGTAAGATGTAATTTATTCCTGTTATGGCAAAGCTGAATGGCTCAGCAGCCATTACTCCAGTCTTCAGTATCACATGATTCTTCAGAAATCATTGTAATATGCTGGTTTGCTGATAAGAAATATTTAAGTGCTGCTTACTATTTTTTGTGGCAATTGAGATACATTTTTTATGAAATTTTGAGAATTTATTTGAAATAAAAATTTAAATATTTTGTGACATTATAAATGTCTTTACTGTCACTTTAATTCATTCTTGCTGAATAAAAGTATTGTCTTTAAAAAAAAAATCCCCAAACTTTCGAAAGGTAGTGTAAATAAAACTAAGATTATTTCTACTTGTTTAGTGTCTTGTTGAGTGGAATAGTACAGTCTGTTTATTTTTTTACCTTGCAGCAGAATCATTTATCTCAGACTGTACTACCTCCTCCACAGGGGGAGGTGTGGGTGGTCTTCGGGCCCTCTCTTCCTCTTCCCTTCTTCTTTGAATTTCCTGTTCCTCCAGCTGACAGAGAATAACATGAGAATAACATTAGAAAAATGGCAGCTGCTATAAATGATGCTAGCATTATTTTACAAATCCCCCTACCCTTGTTAATGTGGGTGTGTATTTAACAAACCGTGGTGAGCTTCTCTAGCAGTGTGAAACGATCTTCCCAGCCTGCTGCCAGTTTTTCAAAGGCTTCGTGGCGTTTGATAAGACTCTCAACCTCGTCAACGTTAGAGCCCAATTCTGCTGCCCTGACCAGTGGTTCCTGTCCTGCCAGCCACGACTCGGCCATAGACGCATCCCTGC